AAGTCCCACCATCAATTCACCTGTGTCCCATCACCATAGTCCTTTGTGCTCTTTCCACCCCTGTTTTGATCCTTCTCTCTCCACCTCCTCTGCAGAATGTCACTGATTTATAGCTACCTGTTGATTTTGATTTTTAATTTATTATAATTACTTTCCCCTCCCCCCAACAATCCCCTATTTGTTTCTGCTACATTCATCCTATAAGTGAAACCACTGGTATTTTTCTTTTTCCTTCTGGCTTATTTCACTGACCATACAAGTGAAGACGTTTTGAAGTTTTCATTTTATAAAAATATGTGGACTCACATATGCTTATGAAATCTTAAGTGCAAATAAGATTACTTTTGAGATGATAGTTAAATGATTAGAAATAGCTCTAGTCACAAAGGGTCAAAAGGAATAATTGGTAGCAACAGAGTTTAAAATTAAGGTGGTAGTATAAAAAACTTCAAATAGCCAAAACTCTCCTGACTAAAACAAAGGAAAATGGAAGTATCACACTTCCAGATTTCAAACTATACTACAAAGCCATGATAATCGAAACTGCATGGTACTGAAACAAGAACAAACATACAGACTAATGGGTTTGAAGAGAAAACCCAGATATAAGTCTACAGTTTTATGGATAGCTAATCTTTGATAAAGGAGAAAAGAATATGCAATGGAACAAAGAAAATTTCAACAAATGGTGCTGGAAAAACTGGGCTGCTACATGCAAAAAAATGACCTAGATAACTACCTCACACCATAGACAAAATCAACTCAAAAGAAATTAAAGAAGTAGACATAAGTCCTGAAACCATAAAATATATAGAAGAAAATATTGGTAAAACACAACATGGCATACACCTCAGTAGCATTTTTAAAGTTATATCACCCAAAGCAAGGACAATGAAGGATAGGTGGGACTACTTCTGTATGGCAAAACAGACTTTACACAAAACAAAGAAACACCCACTGATTGGGGGAAAATTTTTGCACACAATACTGGTGATAAAGGACTGATCAAAAGATTTACAAAGAGCTGACAAAATGCAACAAAAATAAACAACCCCATCAAAAAAAAAAAAAAAAAAGGGCAAAAGAGCTAAAAAGACACTTCTCCAAATAGACAACTTTGGAGACAACAACTCCAAAGACACTTCACCAAAGAGACAACAGACATATGAAAAATTGTTCAAAATCACTTGTACTAAGGGAAATGAAAATCACAACCACAATGATATACCATCTCACATCAGTGAGAATGGCACATATTAAAAAAAAACCTAGTAACAACAAATAATGGCAAGGATGTGGAGAAAAAGGGACTCTTCTACACTGTTGATGGGAATGTAAACTTCTCTAACCACTATGGAAAACTGTGTGAAAGTTTTTCAAACTGTTAAAAATGGAGCTTCCATATGACCCAGCAATTCCACTCCTAGGCATTTCCCAAAGGAATAAAAACCTGTTCCACTATGTTTATTGCTGCTCTATTTACAATAGGTAAGTTGCAAAATCAACCCAAATGCCCAAAAATAGATGACTGGGTTAAGAAGATGTGGTTTATAAAAGCAACGGAATATTACTCAGCAATCAAAAATGATAAACTCAAGCCATTTGTAGCAACATGGATGGAGCTGGAAGGGATCATGCTTCCTGAAATAAACCAGAAAGAAAAGAAAAATAACAATGTTTTCACTTTTAGGAGGAATGTAAGGGATCAGGAAAAAAAAAGTAATTATAATAAAGTAAATATCAAAATTGACTATAAACCAGAAACAAACAACAGTAAACTCTGGAGAGGGGCAGAAGAGAGTAGAATCAAAACGGGTTGGGAAGAGCACTATAGTGATGGCACACGGGTGATTTGGTGGTGGGAAGTCTATGGGAACTACGACTGAGAGGAAAAACACACATTGTACAAAAATGAAGAATGATGTAATAGATCTATTTTTGTACTATGGTGAGCGTTCTGAGTAGAAAAGTAAATAGGTTCTCCCTTTTAACATACAGAAAGAAGGTAGCCCTACAAACATCTTGATGTTAGCACAATGAGAATTGTTTCGATGTTCTGACATTCAGAATTGTTAAAAGCATAACAATGTTTTGTTTTTTTTTAAATCACCAATGTGGCAATTTTACATTAATATTAGGAATGGAATACATTTGCTCAATAACATTTTATTTGGAAAGTAAGATTAAACATCTCCATTCATAACCTTATCCCCTGGGTAAATATGGTTTATTTATGAATGTTACCTTAAGTAGAAGAAATTTAAGTCGATATGAAATATTCAGCTACTCTAGCTGGTAGAAACTTTTCATGCATACATGTAAATGTATTTAAGATTTAGGCACCTTTGAAGCATTAAGATAAATAAAATCGATCCTTTAAAGTTACAGCTATAATTTACTTTATATTTTTGTGTATTTTATTTTCATGTTGATTCAAACTTTATTTTTATTTCTACCCTCTAACATTTAAATTTTCTTTCATTATAAAATATGCGATTAAAAGTGAATGTGTACCGGGCCCTCCCTGGTGGCGCAGCGGGTTGAAGCACTGCACTAAAAAGCTTAAGCCACTTGGCATGAGTTCGATCCCCGCCTGCCCCGGAGGAGATCCACATGGCGTGGCAGACCTCTCCTGACCCTCCCGCTGCTCCCCTCAGCAGTGTACTTTGTCGATCTGCCTGTTCTGCTCCCCACTCTGTCCCTGGTGAATCCTCTCACCCTCCGCATCTCTGGCCTGTACCCCAGTTCTGTATAAATAAATCAATCTTAAAAAAAAAAAGTAAATGTGTACCTACGTGTGAATATAGTTATTTGAAATATAATGTATACATAAACATTGTTGGACTAAGAAAATGTGTCCATAAGTTTCATTTATAGCTTCAGTGTCCATCTGAGATTATGTTTACTGTCCCAGTCCCTTTGGAATTGAGAAATTTGAGCATATGGAAGAGAAAACTTTGAATAATTACACTGAAAGTTTAAGGCGCACTATCTTGAACTATATACAAAGGGAGACATACAATATGTGCTGCAATTTTTGTTTTTATTCACCAAACAGTTTATAGTATGCAATTATACTCCAACAAATTACTTAAAAGAAAGCAACGTAGCAGGCATTGTAGGACTGAGGGTAGAGGCACCTGATTCACACTGAGCATCTCTTCTACGTGGGAAGAAAGAAAAGCAGGATATGTGGATATAGGAACCACAGAAGAAAGGAAAACAATTCACATCCTGTAAAATGGAAAATAAAATAGGACACAGCAATAGAGTAGGTTAGTAGAGATATTAATGTTGGTTCATGAGAGCACACCGAGGGTACACACATCTTGGATGAGCCTTAGAATCAAAATGTACAGACTTGAAGTTCAGGAGGAGAATAGCAGAGCTCAGAACAACTCCCTACCACACAATCTCTTTTGCTAAGGAACACATTTTAGTAACTCATTTGCATTTAGTGACTGGGTATCCAACAGTAAGCAACTGATACAAAAATGAAGTGAACAGAAGTGAGGACAATTATAACAGCCTGCTGCTGATTATTCTTGGCATTTGTTTCTGTATTTAAAGGTAACATTAGTAGCTAACTTATTTCAGTTTTCTTCAGAGAATTGTATTTAAAAATGTAACTGGGGCCTTCCCTGGTGGCACAAGGGATTAGCACAGCACCATGAATCTCACATAGCTGCTTCACGGAGAGTTCAATCCCGGGCCACAGAGGTGACCCACATGGCACAGCAGACCTCTCCTGACCTGCCTGCTGCTCCCCCCAGTCGATCTGCCTGTTCTGTTCCCCACTCTGTCTCTGGTGAATCCTCTCACTACTTCTGCACCTCTGGCCTGTACCCCAGGTCTGTATGCATAAGTAAATAAATCTTAACAAAAAATGTAATTGGAGTTAATTTGCAGGTGATCAGGAGAGCTTGAAAGGGCATGCGTGTTTATGCAAGAGCTTGGTGGGGGGACCAATTCATGCGAGAGGAAAGGGATTCAAGTCTTCTTATCATGCAAGGTGAATAGATCCCTGGCACACACAACATGAATATATAATAGACGATAATGATCAACAATAACTCATCATTACTTTCTTAGCTGGAGAGAATTTAGAAGGGTGGTTAGTTTTACTTTGGGGTAAGGAATGGAGTCATATAGGCAGAACTGGAAATTTTCAAACTCAAAATGAGGATAGTTCAATAAAAAAATTCAATCCTTCACCCTATGTGTAAATCTCTCAGTCATGGACACCAATTCTTCCTATTTTGATGAGTATATGTACAGTTTGTGACATATTTTGTGTATTAATACAATGTATGCCTTAAATATTGCTTCACCATATTGAATGTGGCTCAAAGGTTATTCCGGGTTAATTAAGATATATCTTTCCATGAAGAATTCTTGGTGAAATGCATTGGTAATCATTTGTTCAGTGATTAAGGTAAACGTCTTCAACACATGCTGAAATAATATAATATCCTTATTTGGAGAATAAACCCAGCTATAAACACACTATATATTAAAGTATACATTTCTGGAAGAGCTGCTATATAGTTAAATAATGAATGATGAATACAAAATGAAAAATTGTGGTTTCAGATTTTTCTGTTATAACATCATATAAATCACCTTAGTCATCAAGTATAGTTTGCTTTACTCATAGAATTAATACAACACAGTGATACTTTTAAACAAATAAAAGTTATTTGTGATATATGTCTTTTGAGTAAAATTAGTATAAATTGTCCATGGTGCCTCATTTGATAAACAGACCTTTGTGATGCATGTTGGAACAAATATGGTAAAGTAGGAAAAGAATATATTTCATCTAAAAGGGAGAAGAAATATTAAAGTGGGTTGAATATATTGAATAGAAGAGCTGAGATCAAAGAAATAGAAATTACAGGAAAGAAATTAAAGAGAAACATCTACTTTCACATACTGATCAAATAATCACAATTTCTACTCTGAGGATTTGACCTCATAATTAAGGGCACTTCAGACAATTAGTGTTTTTGTGGCTTCTTCTCAAAGAATGTTTTCAGGGCCCTCTTTATGTCTTTGTTCCTCAGACTGTAAATGAAGGGGTTCAACATGGGTGTGACCACAGTGTACATCACAGAGGCTATTGCACTCGAGTGTGAGCTGTGGGAAGAAGCAGTGCTAAAGTACACACCAAGAACTGTAGAGTAAAACAAAGAGACAACGGAGAGGTGAGACACACAAGTGGAAAATGCCTTATACTTTCCCTGAGTTGATGAGATCCCACGTATGGAAGAAACTATTTTAAAGTAAGAATAAAGGATCCCAGTGAGGGGACCACCACCAACCAGAACTGATAGAACATAAACCACCACGTTATCAAGAAAAGTGTCAGAACAGGCAAGTTGAATCATCTTATTGAGTTCACAGAAAAAGTGGGGGATTTCCAATGTGGCACAGAAGGACAGTCGCGACACCATTAAGCTTTGTAACAAGGAATCCAGGACACTGATGATCCAGGACACTAGCACCAAGAGTCCACACAGGCGGGGATGCATGATGACCATGTAGTGGAGGGGGTGGCAGATGGCCACGTAGCGGTCATAGGCCATCACAGTCAGGAGGAAGATGTCCAGTAATCCAAAGAGTATGAAAAAATACAACTGAGTGATGCATCCTTCATAGGTTATTGCTTTGCTCTGTGTCTGGATGTTGACCAGCATCTTGGGGATGGTGGTGGTGGTGAAGCAGATGTCCACAAAGGACAGGTTAGAGAGGAAGAAGTACATGGGGGTGTGGAGGTGAGGGTCTGAGATGACGGCTACAATGATAAGGAGGTTTCCCAACACAGTGATGACGTACATGGAGAGAAAAAGCCCAAATATGAGAAGTTGTAACTTCAGTTCTTTTGATAATCCCAGCAGGAGAAATTCTGAAATTTGGGTGTTATTCCCTAGTTCCATGTAGCAGAGGTGACTACCAGAAAACAGAAAATACCAGGGTAATGTCAGAAATGATCATCACAAGCATATTTGAAATGCTGTGATCTTTATTTTGCATTCAATAATCAATATCCATAATTTTAATTACCTGATCCCTTCAAGCCTGTTTGCCATCTGGAAACAGGAATTCCTGCCCCACTCCCAGTCTTTCCGCAGGTGGTCATGCATTCTACACTTTTAGTGAGAAAATCTGTGCTGCATTTAGGGAATATAAATTGAGTAATGACTGAATTTGAGGCAGAATGTACAGTGCTGAGGAACAAAAGTCCCTAAGATCCATTAATGGCAAAGTAATATAAGCAAATATAAAAATAAGATAAGTGAGGGCCCTCCCTGGTGGTGCAGCGGGTTAATGCACTGCAAAAAAGCTTAAGCCACTTCTGCACGAGTTGGATCCCCGCCTGCCCCCGAGGAGATCCACATGGCGTGGCAGACCTCTCCTGACCCACCCGCTACTCCCCTCAGCAGTGTACTTTGTCGATCTGCCTGTTCTGCTCCCCACTCTGTCCCTGGTGAATTCTCTCACCCTCCGCATCTCTGGCCTGCACCCCAGTTCTGTATGAATAAATAAATAAATCTTAAAAAAAAAATCAGATAAGTGATCTGATGTTGCCAGATGACAAACACACATCAATCATGTTTAAAGAGAGAGATGGAATGCTATATCTCGTGGGGTGTTTTATAGAATGACATACATTATAATGGAGACCTGTGGCAAGATCAGGTGGGATATATAAGTTTTCTCAGGAAATGTGTACTGAGGGTCTGAACATAATTCTGGACAGGGTATAGCCCTAGAAAGAGTGTTATGTTAAAAAGCCAAGGTTTCAGTGGAAGGTTCTGTGTTGAGGGGATGAACAAGAGGGAATAATGAACAATGATGTCAGAGTGTGGAGTGCCAAGGTGACTCCATGCTGCTGCTGAGACTTGAAGACATAGGAAGTACCTTTTTCACATGTTCCTTGTATTTATGTTGTTTTCTAGGAGTCTTGAGAGTAGAAAAGATCCTCTAGTTTCTATTGGCTGGTCACATCCTGACATGTGAATTAGGGACATGTTTTGTTGTATCTGGGTTAGATACCTCTACCTTCAGAAATACTCACGACTCATAAAATGTACATACACACAACATACACACAAACACATACTATGACCACCTAATCACTACACATCTCTTCTTTACCCGGCTGTAATAATTTGGAATTAAATGACATAAGTCATTGTCATACATTTTTCTTAAAGAATAGAGAAATAATCTCAAATTCCATTTGGCAAGCATCCCAGGGACATGGAAACAGTCCATCAGGCTGGTATTCCAGTGACAATTTTGTAACATGTAATTAAAGAAACAAAAAGTGTTTCAAGAAAGGGAGAAGGGAAAGATGTGGACATGAGTGGGAATAATGATATAAACTCAGGTGACCCCTCTGAAGTTGTAATGAGAAAACTTCCTTGGTTCTGGCAGCATTGCAACCCCAGTTAAATTCTCTTGATGCTGGGATAGCTAATAACACAGCTGCAGTAATAATACAGCTGCAGGTACCTGATCCACATGAGGAAGGATGATATCTCACTATGTGAAGACACCTGTTGATTGATAGCCCATGAGATAAAGGAGCAAAGGGAATAGACCAATTTTACAATTGAACACAGACACATAAAACAAACTTGAGGGTTTTAAAAGATGAGATGAAAAAAAGACCTATCTATAAATGACATTAACGCAAAACTTAGAGAATCAGAAAACCAAGGTTTGAATATCAGCTCTGTCACATGTTAGGTGTTTGTTCATGGAGAGCCAGACAAATCTATGTCAATGTCAATATCATCACTGGAGCAGTGGATAGGTGACCCCTCTCTCTGGGTGGTCAGTAGATCTAGTTAATATTTGTAGAAAGCTTCCTCTGTCATAGTTCTCCCTGGTTGTACATTAATGGTATCACTGGTGATGAGGTGATGTTTCCTTTGCCTCTCCAATGTTTTCACTGCTTCTCCACTCATGTGAAACTAAATAATTGTGCAGTAAAGCTCATTAGCATGTTTCTTACATTTTAAATGCAACTGTTTTTCATGTAAGTACAGACATACAGGATGATACTGTAACATATCTTAAGAGCTACTGTGGCAAAGTAATATTTACCTATTTTGGCATGAGATTTCTTTTTTTCTTTTTTAAAGATTATTATTTATGCATACAGAGCTGGGGTACTGGCCAGAGGAACAGGGGCAGTGAAAGAATTCACCAGACAGAGTGGGAGCAGAACAGGCATATAGATGAAGTACACTGCTGAGGGGAGCAGCGGGAGAGACAGGAAAGGTCTGCCAAGCCATGTGGTCAGCTCCGTGGGCCAGGAGTCAAACTTACGCTGAAGCAGCTGCAGCTAGCTTCACAGTGCTGCACTCCAACCCACTGCCACCAAGTGACATCCTAAGACACCTCTCTGTTTTCTAACATACTAAATACAGTAGTTCATCTACTTAGAAATAAACTTGACAGTTTCTTGGCTCTGTGCTAGGTGGTGGCACTGAAGTGACCTTTGGTAAGAGCTGCCATTTCCATTCTTTCTGAACCTTTCTGGAAGTATCTATTGAGCGTTCAAACTCACCTGGGTTCTCTGAGAGGAACGTCTCAGAGTAGATGTTTGAATTTCTCCATGGGTGGTTGATAATGGAGACTTAATCTCTGTTGCTAGTGAGGACAGTAGGAAGCCGTGAAGCACTGATCTCTGAGCTAAACCCAGGATTCCATAAGCAACAACCACACCCTGTTCATCTCAAATTGTTCAGGTTAAGGGACAGCAACAAGGAGATGTTTACAGCTCCCTGTGTCTACTCATTAGTTTCTGTTTCCATTGCTACCCCACTGATGAACACATAATTTCCCTATGGGACACTGGTATGAACACAAAGGAAATTATTTCTGTTGAGTCTATGTTCCTAAGAGACCAGATTAAAGTCCAAGAAATTCACTTTTTAGTGCTTCTTTCCATGAAACCACCTGTCTTCCAAAGGTTTAACCTCTTCCCGCCTTATCTTGAGCTAATATTTTCTCCAAATCCAAACTGATGACCTTATCTTGACTAGAACTCATGGTCTTTCAAAGTATTGACCGATGTTCAGGAACAGTTTTTGATCTCTCTGGAAAGGTGCTCTTTCTTTCTTTTATGAGAGAAAGAGCTCATCTTTGATAAAAACAAAACCAAAAACAAACCAATGGTACTCTGTCCCTAGGCTACATGATGCTTTTGACATATCAATAGAAAATTCATTTTAAAACCACTTATTATGCATGTTCTTTAATCCTCCCTTGAATCTGAATTATGTAGAGGGAGAGAGATAGGGGGACAAAGGAGGGCAGAGGTGAGAATGTAGGGCGGGAAGAGCCCAGTGGAGCATGGTGAAGGAATAGAGTGCTTTGGTGGTGGGAGAACAATGGTGACTACACATGAGTGGAGAAATCCTGTACTATTAAACTCTTGACAAGGATGTAAATCATTAGTAGTTTATAGGGAAAGAAAGTAGGGAAATAGTATTCTTTTTTATGCACCATGGGTACATCTTTGATTTTCTCATGGATTGCCTCATTTAATTTTTACCAAAGTGTATTCTCTGACGCCTGTTATATCATGAATTTCGTTGTACACTTGCAGAAGTAGGGCTCAGAGGGTGATGTGAACTGTAGAAAATTTTGAGTGGCTAAGGGATGAAATTTTACGGAACCCCATCAAGTTATTTCCAGTTCTCATGCTTTAGGTTAGTTGCTCTCAACCACTGTTTCAGGGGCAGTGGGCATCATCTCCAGAAAGTGTTGGTTGTAACAAGTTGGACTAAAGTGTTAATACCACATTATGACTCCATATTCTACAGTGTATGATGTCAGCACTAAACTTAGTTGTCCTTTTTCTCCACATCCTCACCAGGACTTGTTGCTGCTCTTTTGAAAATTGGCCACTCTCACTGCTGTAAGGTGGTATCTCAGTGTGGTTTAATTTGAATTTTCTTGAGGAGCTATTATGATGAGCATTTTTTTGTGTGTGCCTGTTGGCCATCTGAATGTCTTCTTTTGAGAATTGCCTATTTAACTCTTCTATCCAATTTTTTATTAGATTAGTTGTTCTTTCTCTTGAGTTGTTTGAGCTCTTTGTAGATATTTGATATCAGTCCCTTGTCAGATGTGTGGTGTGCAAATACTTTTCCCATTTAGTAGGGGGTCTCTTAACTTTGGTTACAACTTCTTTCATTGTGCAGAAGCTTTTTAGTACAATGCAGTCCCAATTGTTTATATTCTTATTTGTTTTTCTTGCTATTGGGAATGAAATCTGCAGAAGTATTTCTGAAGCTCATGTCATGGACTATTTCCCATGTTTTCTTCAATGTACTTTTTTGTTCAAGTCTTACATCCAAGTCCTTTATCCATTTTGAGTTAATTTTTTGTGTATGGTGGGAGATAGTGGTCAAATGCTTTCTCAGCATCAATTGATATAACCATGTATTTTTTTACTTTCCCTTTTGTTGATGTGAATTATATTGATTGATTTTCTTTTTTATTATTTCTTTTTTTACATCATTCTTCATTTTGTGCATTAAAAAAAAATCTCAGTTGTAATCCTTGTGGACTTCCCACCACCAGGTCACCTGTGTGCCATCACCATAGTCCTGTGCACTCTTCTCACCCCAATTTTGATCCCATTCCCCTTTCCACCCCCATAAAATGCCTATGATTTATAGTTGTCCATTGTCTTTGTTTATACTTTATTACATTTGCTTCCCCCTCAACCCACCCCCGATCCCTTATGCTCATGCTATGAGTGAAACCATCCAGTATTTTTTTTTTCTTTCTGGCTTATTTCACTAAACATGCTCCATCCATGTTGCTGCAAAAGGCATGCATTTATATTTTTTGATTTTTGAGTAATATCCTATTGTGTATTTGTACAGCATCTTTTTTAATCCAGTCATCTATTTTGGGGGATTTGGGTTGATTCCATGACTTCCCTATTGTAAATAGAGCAGTAGTAAACATGGGGGGGGGTGCAGGTGTCCTTTTGAATCTATGTTTTTGTGTTTTTTTGGGTATATACCTAGGAGTGGAATTGTTGGGTTATATGGAAGCGCATTTTTTAGCAGTTTGAGAAACCTCCAAACAGCTTTCTGTAGTGGTTGCACCAGTTTGCATTCCCATCAGTAGTGTTTATTAATTTTCTGATGTTGAATCATCATTGTGTTCCTGATATAAATCTAACTTGTCAAGGTGTATAATATTTTTTAAAGATTTATTTTTATTTATTTACACATACAAGAACTGGGGTGTAGGCCAGAAGTGTGGGAGGTGAGAAGATTCACCAGAGACAGAGTGAAGAGCAGAGCAGGCAGATAGACTGACATACATTGCTGAGGGGAGCAGTGGTCAAGGTAGGAGAGGTCTGCTGTGCCATGTAGATTGGCTCCCTGGCCCAGGGATAGAACTCATGCTACAGTGGCTGGCAATAGCTCTAACCCCTGCGCCACCAGGGAGTCCCCAGGTTATAATATTTTTAGTGCACTATTGGATTGGATTTGCTTAGTTTTTATTTAGGATATTTACATCTGTTTTTATTAGGGAAATTGACCTATAGTTTTCTTCTTTCTCTTTATTTGGTTTTGGTGTTAGTATGATGATGGCTCCATAAAATGTGTCTGGAAATATTCCTTCTTTCTTGATTTTTTTTAAAAGTCTGAGCAGGATAGATATTAGTTTGTCATTGAAAGATTGCTAGAACTTGTTTATGAAGTCATGTGGTCCTGGTTTTGGGAGAAATTTGATTACTGAGGAGTTACTTACAGTTCCTCATATCTGCTCCTTAGGCACATTTCCCTATTGTTTATGTAATCACTAAGTACATGATTTCCCTGCAAGGTCCCTATCTATACAGAAAAAAAAAAATATCCTAGTGGCTCTTTGATTCCCAGGAGATCAGGTGAAAGTGATGTGAATACAGACTTTATTACACCTTCTCCATGAAAATTCTTGACTTCCAGAGGTCTCAGCTCCCAGCACTTTATCTCACTCTTATGGTATACAGGTGAGTTGGAGGTGGGAATTTTATGGAGACTACACTTGAGAGGAGAAAGCAAACACTGTGCAAAAATAATGATGTAAAAATATAAATAAATAGATGAATAAACTGATTTGCACCACTGATTATGATAGGCATTATGCACATCAAACTAAAAAATAAAAAAAAGTAGGAGGTCAGAAATAAAATATACTAGCATGTTTAAGTCTACATCATAAGTGAGATCAGTGAAGGTATTTAAACAGAAAAGAATGACATCCACATGTGAAAAATGTGGTTTCTGATTTTTCCTCTACAGTGAAAACATATAAATGGATTTAGTTACCAAATATAGTTCTTTTTCTATATGTGGAACACATTCAGAATGATTTTTTCAGGAAAAATAATTAAAAATATTTTGGATGATATGATATATGTTACTTAAGAAGAAATGATTCTTAAGAGATACATATTTCCTCACTAAATAATAGGAATTACAAATTATTTCTGAAAAAAGTTTTGGAAAACTTTTGAAAATAACATAAGAGTAGACTGAGTGTGTATTAGAGTAGAAAGCATACTAATGTGATTTAAATATTGTATAGGAAATTTTATTGGCTAGAGGTCAATGAAATGGAAATTCCAGGATATAAATTGAAAGAATGAATTCAACTCCCCTGGTGTGATGACACAATAGCAATTTCTGGTTCTAAGACTCAGTCCTGTGTTTACAAGCACTTCTTCTGCCTCCAGAAAATTTTTGTAATATAGCAGCAACCCTAAAGATTTTTTTCAGTGCTCCCTTTATGTCTTTGTTCCTCAGACTGTAGATGAAGGGGTTCAGCATCGGTGTGACCACGGTGTACATCACCGAGGCGATTGCACTTGAGCGTGAACTGTGAGGAATAGCAGAGCTGAGATACACTCCAAAGCCAGAACCGTAAAACAGGGAGACGACTGAGAGGTGAGAGGCACAGGTGGAAAAGGCTTTGTGCTTCCCCCGAGCCGAAGAGATTCTACGTATGGAGGAAACTATTTTAGAGTAAGAGTAAAGGATCCCAACGAGGGGCCCTCCAGCCAGAAACACTGTTACAAAATACATCACCAAGTCACTAAGAAAAGTGTCAGAACAGGAACACTGCAGAACTTGGTTGATTTCACAGAAAAAATGGGCAATTTCCATGTTTGAACAGAAGGACAGTCGCAACACCATTAAACTTTGTAATAAGGGATTCAAGGCACCGATGCTCCAGGACATCAGGACCAGCAGCCCACAGAGCCGGGGGTTCATGATGACCGTGTAGTGCAGGGGATGGCAGATGGCCACGAAGCGGTCATAGGCCATCACGGTCAGGAGGAAGTCATCCAAACCTACAAAGAGAATGAAGAAATACATCTGGGCGATGCAGCCTTCAAAGGTTATGGCTTTGCTCTGAGTCTGGATGTTGACCAGCATCTTTGGGATGGTGGTTGAGGTGAAGCAGATGTCTACAAAGGACAGGTTGGAGACGAAGAAATACATGGGGGTGTGGAGGCGGGAGTCTGATCTGAAGGCCAGGATGATGAGCAGGTTCCCCAACACGGTGATGAGGTACATGGAGAGGAAAAGCCAAAAAATGAGGGGCTGCATTTCTGGTTCTTCTGATAACCCCAGAAGAATAAATTCTGAGCTGTGGGTCTCATTCCTTGGTTCCATGTGGGCCAGGTGATGGCTAGGAAAAAACAAGTAATGATTTATTTTTTATAAATGGGCATTACTCACTTAGTGAAACGCTATTATATATTTCTCTAGTCAAGAAATAAATACCAATAAGATTTTATGTAATATTTTCTTTTTTATTTTATGTCCTGTGTCTCTCTCCAGTGGATGAGATCATGTATTCTGCAGTCTCAGTGAATTATTGTTTCATACACATGGAGAATATGTGTGTATACTGGCCATCTTCCAGTCAAAGCGTATAGGATGCTGAGAAACACTAAGTAAACACAAGATCTGATGTGTCAGATGGTGACTGATGCTATGAAGAAAAAGAGGGCTGGTATAAGGAAAGACAAGGTGAAGGGGTTATTTTTTAATCTGGTGTTTAGGCAGAAGCTGGAACAAGGGCACATTTGGATAGAGACTCAGGAAGGTAGGCAGGAGATGCAAACTTACCCGAGTACATGCAGGGGGAACCACCTGGCAGAATTTTTGAGTGAGATACTTTTTGTCAGTTGAAGGCACAAAAGTAAGCCAATGCTTCAATGAATGGATAAGCAAGAGGGAGGTAGAGTCAGAGAATGTAGAGGAAGAGGGCTCCCGGCCGCTCCCTAGGCTTCAAGACCAGATTCCCTCTGCCATCTGCTGTTTCTTGCACTTATTAATATTTCCAAAGAATTCCATCGACAAAAAGGACTTCCTCTTCCCCAGTGAGTTTACACTCTTGTCTGTATACATTGGCAGAACTCTTGCATGAACTTGACTGGCCTCTAGCCTTGGATACTGAAAGACATGCAACAGCACATTTGCCTTGGGGGAACCCTCTCGAGGGCTGGGTCTGAGCTCCAAGAATGTGAGAAAATAGGTCATGCGAGCAAGCAGCCACGTGTGAGAAAGATTGCAAAAGACCCTATCAGGCGGTGTCCTGGTGGGTGTGAGGGCTCGGCCATCTGGGGCTGGACAGGGTGTTCCAAGAATTAGAACACCAGATATAGAGTTAGAATAAGTCAACATGCTATTGTTACTGCTTGGGGATGTGGGGTGTGTAAAGAGCACGCTGCAAAATAAAGGTCACGGCATGCTGGACATAGCAGTCATCCCTTTGTTTTATCCTTCACGGGCATGCCCCAGGTCCTGGACCCACTAGAGGTCCACATGTATATTAAGGTTTACAGTTTGGAGTATGTGTGTTCACCTTTGTCCCAGTAAAGAGAAATTTTTATAGAAATTAAGAACTTCTGGAATAAAGAATGTTAATAAGAGCGAAATTATGTTAAGAAGGATGGCTTCAGATAGCTAAAAAAAAGTAGACTGTATCTAAAACAAAAGTCAAAGAGAGAAAGACAAACATCATATGATTTCACTCATGTACGTAACTAGAGAAAACAAACTGATAAGTTAAAGTAAAAAAGTGAAAATTTAAATTGTAACTCCGATTAGTGGCTACCAGAAGGGAAAGGGGGAGTGAGTAAAGATTGGCACAAAAGTATAGTGAATTATAGACATATTTTTAGTCTTCAACTTAAGTTAGAACATTCACTTGTTTATTTTTAAAGACACATACCTGAAACTTGTACAGTGCTACAATGAAACGTTATTTCAATAAAAATTAATATTTCAATACCACCCACATAGTCACTGATTCAAGGTTAAATTGCCACATTATCATATGTAAAAGATATAGAAAGGGTTATTTCTTTTTCTATTTTTTTTTAAATTGAGGTAACACTGGTGTACAAGGTTGCTTGTATCTAGGGTGTTGCTCTCCTGTTCAGCTGTTGCTACTACACACCCAACACCGAACACTTAGCTTCCAGCATCATCCACTGTGCTCTGTTCCCACTTTGTTTTCTCCCCTCCCCCCATGATAGCCTCAGTTCCAAAGTTAGATTTCTATGGGCTTGTTACTGGTCTGGAGTTTCTTTGACTCTTTGTTTTGTTTCTCTATATTCCACATATAAGTGGGATTTGTCTGGTGCTTGCGTTTTTCTCTCTGATTTATAGAGCATAATTCCTTCCACTTATGTTGCAAATGCTGAGTTTATCTAAAAGAAGGGTTTTAAATAGTTGAGGAAACACTAGCTAAATTATCATTTAATTATAATCATGGTATTTATGATTTGTAGTGACCGCTCAACCATTTCTGTGAAAAGATAGAAAAAGACAATCAGACCTATTGTTACATTTCCCCTCCACAAAATATATAAACACTGACAATTCCCCCCCAAATACATAAATATGTCCACTGACAAACCACAAAGTTGTTGCAAACAACTCCAAATCTAGTATGAAAATGAATACAACCTGACCCCACTCTGAAATGTAAAGGTCTCACAAAGACAGTAACAATAGAGAAAACAAATGACTCACAACTATATTCAAACTTATAGTTATTTCAAAGTAAACTCCTTAGTACACCCCCTCTCAGATAATAAATAATGTCCCCCAACCCCCCACCCCAGGGCATACCCAGAGGAATAGAAGATACTGTACATCTGACCCATGAACTGAAGTTGCATGGTAGTATTTGCAAACAAGCAGTTACTGATCTTGATCGCAACATTGTAGGAAAATGATGGAATCTATAGCATCTTCAAAGTGGAAAAAGTGGATACCTTACAAGTTTCTACTCTATACTCCACTCCCTTTACTTTGGATATACTGTATTAAAAAATAATTAAGTTTATTTATTTTTGTAACATTGCTGATTTTGCACACTATTTGATGTCTCTCCTCGGAAGAGGTCCCTATACTATAGTTCTCCCACCACCGTAGTACCCGTGAACCATCAGGCTTCCCTTCCCTGTTTTCCCTCCCATCCCTTCTCCTCCTCTGATGTACCCCTGAGATCTATGGTCAGCTGGCAAATTTTGTCTTTTGCTGAACATATTCTATTTTTACTGGAAACATTAAAAATTTCCCAATCTTTTTCCATTTGATCAATTATTGATCTTTATGATTCCTAGATTTTATTCACTTGTTTCTCTAGAATCACAAATGAATAATTAATTAGGCAAGGGAGCAAACAAATGTTCTTGGCCCACATAGTCTCTGACCTTGTCATCCAGAGTCTACTGTATTGAACTCACCGTGGTGGGATTTCTGAGAGAAAGATCTCTGTGTGGAAGTCTGAATTTCTTATTGGATGTAGACTGAAGCTCTGTTCTAGTCCAGAGACTAAAGAGGAACAAAAATTGGTTGCCAAACTATACTTGGGACCCCTGAAAAACCAAACTAAAACCCAAATAAAAACTGTGCTCCGTTCATCCCAAGGTTAAACTTGAGAGACTGGACAAGAGATATTTACAGTCTCCCATCTGTGCTCCTTGGCACATTTCCCTTTTGCTCCCTCTGAGCACATGATTCCCTTTGGACACTGGCCTGCGTTGAAAGGAAAAAATTCTACTGATTGTTCTCAAGAGACCAAGTTAGAGTGAAATGAAAAGTTTTTTTTTTTTTTTTTTTTTTGTGGTCTGGTTTTACTTTTTTCCATGAAGTCTTTTTCATTCTAGAGGTCTAAATCTCTTAGCACATATTGCTTTGGGGAGAAGATCAGGGTGAGGCATGGGGTGACAGAAGTCACCAGAGATGGAGTTGAGGACAGAACAGATGGTTTTACTGAAATACACTGTTAAGGAAAGCAGTGGGGAGGGTGGGAGTCTGCATGAGGAGAACCTGAAGTTCTCTTTTCTATACTGTTTTCCCTGTTTTCTCCTAGAGCCGCCAGTTTGCACTAGTTATCTGCTGTGAAGTCTGATCTCTGGTACTGGCTTTTGACACAGAAACATGTTTGGCCTCCTCTTCTGCATTCCTGGAGCTGAACTGGCTCTTCTGTGCTGGTGGTCAGTTTTCTGGCCTTGTCCCTGGGGCAGCCTTGTCTACTCCCTTATCAATCTATTCCAGCTTTCCTAACCTACCTTGTGGGTCAGGAGTGGGAGCTTAGTTTTTCCTTTTATTGTACCCCAACACTTATCTCAAATCTCTGGCAAAGATTTCTCCATGTTTAAGATTGAGGAATGTCTCTTGACTGGGTCTTTTGTACTTTCAAAGCTTTCAATTTTGATGAGGGCACAGCCTGTGATAACTCTACAATAAATTGCTTTCTACTTTTCAACAAGAAGGAAATTGTGACCTTGGTACCAAAGTCCTTGCTTGATGACACATCTGTCATAACAATTACAAATCTCATATCACAAATTAGAGATGTCATATATTCCTTTAATGCAACGTCTTCGTTATTTTAATGGCTACACCTATGTCAGCACAATAATCTGAGCTGACACCTCCAGGATTTTGTCTACTTTCCCTTCTATAAAAGTCCATTTTATGATGTAGGACTATTATGAACTCCTGTGTACACACCAGAAATGGAGCTTACAGAGGCTTAATGATCTATTAAGCTTATAATTTAATTAGGGATGAGACTTTCATTGATTCTATCAGTATACTTCCAGTTCTCAAACTTGTTGGTAGTAGTTACCAGTAAGAGATAAAGTTGTTCCTCTAGATATTTGGAAGGATGCTGCAATCCACAGAATAGCCTAACACAAATGCTATTTTGCACAAAATTGACAGTGAGAAGGTGAGAAAAACTTTTCTAGACTGATACTTCTGTAATTAGCGTATGAATCACCCAGGATTCTAGTGTAAATGCAGATTCTGCTTCAGCTGGGCTGGTACACAACAGTATGCATTTCTAACAATCTGCAGCGATGCTGGTGCTGAATCTCCTAATTTTGTACTCTCAGAGTGGCAAGGTTGTAGTCAAGTGTAGGCAGTTTTATATCTTCACTAAAAATCATGTCTGCATGTAACTTGAAGAAATACACTTTGAAAATTGGGTATATTTTACATTTCATTATTTGATAAAAGCACCCTTGACTTTTACCAAAACAGTACACTTCTGAAAAAGGCTTCATAGTGGGAGAACAGGGTATCCCAAAGATGTCCACAATCTGATACCCTATACCTTTAAATATTGCATTTTCTATAACAAG